TTTCGAAATAGCGCGTCCAGGCTTCGGTCTGAAAGGTGCACCTCGACTTTGGGGCCTCAGGCCAAAGCAGGTGATGGCCCAATTGCCGCTGCTTCCACTGGTCACTGGCCCACAGTTTTATGGCAACTGGGCAGTTGCGAGGTGCGAGACTCTTTCCCGAGAGCTCGTACCTCAGGTGGCTGGTGTTCGTGGGTCCGAAGGGCGCGATCGAAGATCTCCGCGCGGTGCGCAGTGCGCAGGGTGCGTCCACGGAGAAGCTTGCGGATGCACTCCTGGGCGCGCTGGAGGCAGAGTTCGGGCAGCTTGCTCGCCAGAAGCGCAAGTTTGGACATTCACGAGTGGTTCACGATCAGCATGGCGATGGGCCAGCGCGGTGTTCCCAGCGTCGCAACGCGGCGCAGGCGAGACAAATGCACGTGGAAAAAACGAGAGAAGATGACGAACCTATGGAGCAGCCAGACAGAACATCGTTTCGGTCTCTTCTTGGCGGGTCAGCCTGGATGTTGGTTACTCGAGCCGACGTGGCGGTTCACGTCGGATATCTACAACGGCTTGCCCATGAGCCACGCGGGAATCATGCGCGACGCCTAAATTCAGTGGCACGTTGGATCAAGCGCAAGAAGAGCTCTCTTGTATATTATGATGTGCCGCTTCCTTGGAGTGTCGTGGGATTTCCTGATGCTGCGTTCAGAGCGACGGAACTGGATTGTTTGGCAGTCAGCGCAGCAGTGATTGTGATAGCAGGGTTTGATTCCATGCCAACCGGCGGGCTATGTGCGACGGCGGAGTCACATGCGCGAAAGCAGCCTAGGGTTTGCAGGCCTACTTTCTCAGCGGAGTTGGCAAGTGTGGGCGATGTTCACGGGCCCCTCACCGCAAAGCAAATTCAGTGATGCATGGGCACAGGCCGACTACCAGTAGACCTACACGCGTGCACGGACAACGAGGGCCTGTTCTCAGCTCTGGGCGCGACGCAGCCCAAGGCCCCACCGGAGCCCCACTTGCTGCATTTACTTCGGGTTCTGCGAGACCCGCTGGAAGCTGGTATTATGCGCGAGCTCTGGTGGGTAGACGCCCGAGTCGTGATCAGTGATGCGTTGACCAATGGAGGTCTGGCTCGTGAACCGATTCTTCGTTTGTGGGCTACCGCCTCGCTGGAGATGATAGGTGACGAGCCGAGTGCGCTGTGCTTTTGTTCTCATCATCGCGCTTCGTAATGAGATCGCCTCTGTTTGAGAGCCGCTGCTAGAGCCCTGCTTCCTGTGCTCTGCTTTTTGCAGTTTGCCTCTTCGAGGTCGGATGCTGCGCTCTGGTCTGGAGCCCAAGATCTTGTGTGTCGTGAAGATTTCAGATGGGCTTGCCGCTTTCTTGACCGTTCAGCTTTTAGACCTGCGCTGAGTTATCCTACCCCGAATTAAGGTGCATGGGCCCTCCCGAATCACGGGGGCGGGTGGGATGCTCACCGAGATATGTAAAGCATGTGCTCCAGGAAGACAAGACGCGCCGACGGCGTCTTGGCTCAAGCCGGCTCGTAAGAAGCCCCACCCAGTGTGCGAATCCTACCCGCAGCGGCCCCAGCCCGCAGTTCCATCTTCTATACCACTACGAACGAGTCAGCCACCACGGCGACGCCCTATTTAATCAACCTCTTCTTCATATCTTTCCCCTCGCGCCTGATCAGCTCGAGGGCGTGCTACAGCTCAGTTTCACCGGAGGGCGCGCTGGCTTTCCTTGACATCCCCCGGCGGACTGCGGAGGAGGAGCGCGAGGAAAACAACTCGCCCCCTCTGCGTATTGTTTTTTTTTAAACATCGGATGCCTGCGAGTTGGATTGTTGGATGTGTTTCTCCCAGTCCGAACGTTTTCGGTTCTTCCAAAGTGTCGTTTCCCGCTGCAGCGCTGGCCTCATTTTGGGGCTTCCGCTCGATCGGAGTCGTGCTCCCGCTGCAGCACTGGCCTCATTTCCGCGTTTCCGCTCGTTCCGAATCGTGCTCCCGCTGCAGCGGTGGCCCCATTTCCGCGCTTCTGCTCGTTCCGAATCGTGCTCCCGCTGCAGCGATGGCCTCGTTCCCAGTGCCATGTCATGCAATGCAATGCTATGATGTGTCACGCTGTGCGATGCCATGCCTTTTGCTGCAGCGCCATGCTATGCAGCGCTTTACCTCGCAGTGCCACGCCATGCTCTGTCATGCGATTGTTTAATTTGCAACGTCATGCTATGCCATGTAATACGATGCCATGCAACGGCATCCGACTGTGCGAATAAAGAGGAGATCTCCGCCATGGTAAGAGGATGGGAGGTAGGGATAGGACGTCAAATACGACGCTTGCGCACCTAGCTTGTCCTCCTCCCCCTCTCCCTCTCCTCCCTCCTTGTCCCACTGATGGGTGATTGTGGTGGCGATAAGCATGGATGATAGTTGGTGATGGTGATGATGATGATGATGATGATGATGATGATGATGGTGATGATGATGATGATGCTGATGATGATGATGATGATGATGATGATGATGGTGGTGATGGTGGTGATGGTAGCGGCGGCGGTGGTGGTGGTGGTGATGTTTGTGATGACATGGATGATGTTGTTGATGATGAGGGTGGTGATGGTGATGGTGCTGATAATGGTGGTGATGGTGATGGCGATGGTGGAGATGATCAAGAAGGAGATGAAGGAACAGGAGGAGGAGGACGAGGAAAATTATGATGGTGATGATGATGAGGCGGAGGAGGAGGACGAGGACGAGCAGGAGGAGGAGGATCAGGAGGAGGAGGAGGAGGGGGGGAGGAGGAGGAGGATGAGGAGGGAGGAGGAGTGAGGGAGGAGGAGGAGGAGGACGAGGAGGAGGAGGAGGGGGGGGGGGAGGAGGGGGGAAGAAGAAGAGGAGGAGGAGGAAGAAGAGGAGAGGAGGAGGAGGGGAAAGGAGATGAGGAGGAAGAGGGGAGGAGGAGGAGGGAGGGAGAGGAGGAGGAGGAGGGAGGAGGAGGAGGGGAGGGAGGAGGAGGGAGGAGGGAGAGGGAGGAGGAAAGGGAGGGAGGAGGAGGAGGGAGGAGGAGGAAGGATGCGGGAGGAGGAGGGAGGAGGAGGGAGGAGGGAAGATGATGCTGCAGCTGCTGCTGCTGCTGCCGCTGATGATGATGATGATGATGATGATGATGATGATGGTGATGATGCTGCTGATGATGATGATGATGATGATAAGGATGATGCTGCTTTTGATGATGCTGATGATGATGCTGATGCTGATGATGCTGATGCTGGTGGTGATGGCGATGATGGCGATGATGATGATGATGATGATGATGATGATGATGATGATGATGGTGATGATAAGGATGATGATGATGCTGATGATGATGATGATGATGATGATGGTGATGGTGGTGGTGGCGGTGGCGGTGATGATGATGATGATGATGATGATGGTGATGGTGATGACGATTCGGACGACGTCGATGATGTTGTCGTTGTTGATGATGATGATGATGGTGACGATGATGATGATGATTATGGTGATGGTGATGATGATGATGATTATGATGATGCTGATGATGATGCTGATGATGATGCTGCTGATGATGATGAGGATGATGATGAGGATGACGATGCTGACGTTGCTGACGATGATGATGACGACGACGATGAGGAGGTGGAGGAGGAGGAGGAGGATGACGACGACGACGACGACGATGATGATGATGATGCTGATGCTGATGATGATGATGATGCTGATGATGATGATGATGATGATGATGAGGATGAGGATGAGGATGAGGATGAGGATGAGGATGAGGATGATGATGCTGATGATGATGATGATGATGAGGATGAGGATGATGATGCTGATGATGATGATGATGATGATGATGATGATGATGATGATGATGTTGATGTTGATGCTGATGCTGATGCTGATGCTGATGCTGATGCTGATGCTGATGCTGATGAGGAGGAGGAGGAGGCGAAGGAGGAGGAGGAGGAGGGGAGGAGGAGGAGGAGGAGGAGAGGAGGAGGGAGGAGGAAGGAGGGAGGAGGGAGGAGGGCGGAGGGAGGGGGAGGAGGGAGAAGGAGGAGGAGGGGAGGGGAGGGAGGAGGGAGGAGGAGGAGGAGGAGGAGGAGGAGGACGAGCATGGGGGGGGAGCGGAGGGAGTAGGAGCCCGCAGTTCCCCTCTGCCCCGCGGGAGTTCAGATGCTAATCCTCCACGGAATCTCCCTCTCCAAACGAGGGTCACTTCGGCTCGCGTTGGGCACGCCTTGCACTTGCCAGGACTCTTACCAGGACTGTGTCAGGGCAATGCCAATCCTGCTCCTCCTCCTCCTCCTCCTCCTCCTCCTCCTCCTCTTTCTCCTCCTCCTCCTTCCCAAGACTCTGCCAGGGCCATTCAGGGACCCCGAGAGGACCCCATCAGGGCCCTGCCACGCTCATGCCTGGGAATCTGCCAGGAACTGCTCCAGGTCCTTACATACAAGGATCTTGTTTGGACCCGACGCAGCCCCCACAACGACCCCACCGAGATCCCACAAGGACCCCAGCAAGACCCTCCAACGACCCTGCTGGGACAAAACACCAAGACGCGGGCGGACTTCGGTCAGGACGAGGACTTTGTGAGGATCGTGCAAGGTTGTTCCCAGCATTTACGACGACACAGCCTATCATATGACTAGATCCCACAAAGACTGCGTCAGGGCCCCATCAGGTTTCATTAGGGCCTTCATCTTTTACTTGAACCCTGCAACCCTGCCCGTGCCTTACACGGACCTCGCAAAGACCCACCTCTATCCAGCCAGAAGCCCACCAGGACTCCACCAGGATGTTGCCAGGACCACATGAAGACCTTGGCCATGCAGCAGATCTACCGGGGTATTCTCAATTCAGGACAGTGTCCAGGGCGCTAGATAGATTTCATATCGACGATTGCTCCCCCTCATGCCCCTCCTGCGTCCCCCCTCCTCACCCTTGGGGACGAGGAGTTGCCTATGAGCTTCTGATGCCTGGCAGGAGCTCTCCGTGCTCATCTCGGGCGACAGCACAGGACCAGACCCTCACGAGTGGCAGCAGCACAGCCGAGGCTGCGTCGACGCGGAGATGCAGGAGGTCCTGAACAGAGCAATCTTGTCCAGGGCAGATACTTTTTCACTCCCCTGGATATTTGGGAGTGGCAAGCCTCCCAGTGAATCGAGATTCTGGGGAGCCCTCGGGTTTCATAGGAGAAGTGAGAGGGGGCAGGCCTTCTTGAAGGCGGCAGGGTTTCTCAGAAACCCTCGCGCCTTTGAGAAGCCTTGTGTGAGCCTTTTCTGAAGCCACAGACGGCTTCTCAGGAGGCGCGATGGCTTTGGGAAACCCCGCCGCCTGAGAGGGCCTGTTCCCTCTCACGTGTCCCCTGGGCTCGCCACCGACGATCTCCAACAACTCAGGTTGCTGTATAGTTCGACGTGGCTGGCGCATCAGATGTTTCATTCGAGACTTTCGCGGCGCCTGACGAGACGCACACGAAGAAACGCCTGCGGCGAACCACCGCCACCGCCTGCTTTTGGAATCGCCCATGTGGCCAAGCATTGGGCCAACGCCTAGACAGTCGGAGGTTGGGGGGTGAGGAGGAGGAGGAGGAGGAGGAGGAGGAGGAGGAAGAGGAGAGGAGGAGGAGGAGGAGGAGGAGGAGGAGGAGGAGGAGGAGGAGGGGGAGGGGGAGGAGGAGGAGGAGGAGGAGGAGGGGGAGGGGAGGAGGAGGAGGAGGAGGGGAGGAGGAGGAGGAGGAGGAGGAGGAGGAGGAGGAGGAGGAGGAGGGAGGGGGCCCCACGCGGAGCCGACGGGCCTCGAGAGGTGGTCGGCTGGTTCTGGGAGGCCGTGGGCGGCGAGCTGACCCCGGAGCAGCGCGGGCTGCTGCTCCGCTTCGCGACCGGCTCCAGCCGCCCCCCGCCGGGGGGCCTCGCGGAGCTGCGGCCGCCGTTCTCGGTGGAGGTCCGGCCCGGGAGCGGAAGGGCCAGTTATATCGGGGGACAAAAAGAGACGGATACGTGTTGTCCCCCTGCGTTTTCGGCCTTTCCTGGTCCTCCTGGGGAATCCTCGTTGTCACCGCTGGATTCGCCTCGAAATTCTGGTCAGAACGCACCCCAAGAGAGGTCCGGGGACAACACGTATCCGTATCTTTCCGCCCCCCAGTTATAGGGGGCCAGATGCGAACCCTACCCCTACCCCCCACCGATTTCTGATCTGGACGCCCGAAGTGGGTACGGAAAGAGTGGGTACAATGCCCAACAGCAGTTCCTGTGCATTTTCAACAGGATTCGCTGTCCACGCCGCCGCGGCCTGTGTCCATTTGAGACAGAGGGCCGCCTACCCAACAGCGGCCGCTGTTGGTTTGGGACAACATTCGCTGTTGGGCATTGTACCCATTTTTTCGGTACCCATTTCGGGCGTCCAAATCTGAGGGGGAGGGTGGAATTCACTTCGCTCGGGAGCTCCCGAACGATGTGAACCCCACCCTCCCCCTCAGAAATCGTGGGGGGTAGGGGTAGGGTTCGCATCTGGCTCCCTACCAGTGTCACCGGGCGGCGGGATCTGCAGCCGAGACGCCGAAACAAGGACCGCTTGGGGTTCGGAAGGGGCTCGCTGGTCCTCAGGTCATTCCGTCGTGGTTCTTCTAGGCCTCCGCGTGCACCCAGGTTGTTCTGGTGCCAAAGTTTCGTTCCTTTTCAGCGTTCTTTACTCACCACCCACCAAACCACCCCAACCCAACCGAAGGCTCAGATTTACCCTCGATTTCCAGTGGGGGGGGTCAGGAAACATTGAAAAAACACATGTGGAACCCTTACCCCCCCCAACCCGAAATTCGAGTCTTCGGGTCGGGTTGGGGTGGTCTGGTAGGTAGTCATTTACTGCAGCAGCTTGACTTCAATTATACACATCCGCCGTCACATCCGCCGCTCCTGGCCAGGCTCATGCTGGACGCAGGATGGGTGCACGTGTCCGCCCTGTCCAAGCCAGGGGGGCGTGTGCACGGCTCCCAAGGCCCAGGATGGTTCAGGAGGGAAAGAAACACACAGACACAATTAATCCTCGATTCCCCAGAAAATATGGGAAACTATGGGACGTGGGGGGAAGACAAAGACCCAGAAAATATGAGAAAATATAGGGAATCTTTTTATTGGTGTGTATTTATCTGTGTGTCCTGGGGCCCCTCCACTCTTGGATGCGAAGCTCAACCACTGGCGAGCGCTCGCCCACGGCTCGCTGAAGCAGTGGTGCCGGAATTCCAGGCAGCCTGGCTGGCCAGAGACAGGTGCTGAGCTGCAGGATGTGGCCCGCTCGTCTGCAGCGAACGCGGCGGCCTCCACGCTTCGCGAAGCGCCGTGGTCCAACCAGCGAGCTTGCCAGCAAGCCAGCACTGCCAGCCAGGCGAGCCAGCTTCGCGAGTTACCGAACGGAGGCCTCGTCCTCGAGCGTGCCACCTCCTCCGTGTCTTCGCGACCGGCCATGCCAGCCCAGCTGTTCCCGCCACCCGTTCTGCTTGGGAACGATCTGGTCTGGCGATCGAAAAGCCGCCGATCGTTCAAGGTTGGAGGAGGAGGAGGAGGAGGAGGAGGAGGAGGAGGAGGAGGAGGAGGAGGAGGGGGGGGAGGGGGAGGGGGAGGAGGAGGGGAGGGGAGGAGGAAGGAGGAGGGAGGAGGAGGAGGAGGAGGAGGAGGAGGAGGAGGAGGAGGAGGAGGAGCCACGCAGTGTCGGAAACCAACGCTGGCTGGGGCCATCACGGCAAGGGGCCGGCCGCAAGGGACATGCGGGGCCCTTTGCGCACCACGGTTGCGGCAGAGCGCAGTGGTGGACGATGCATCAACAAGGGCTCCCTCGAGGGCGCGAAGTTATTCGCGCTTCGCGCTTCGCGGTCCTCGTTCCTCCTCCCCCTCCTCCTCGTCCTCCTATTCTCCCTTTGGGAGGGCGGCGCGAGAGCGCGAAGTTATTCGCGCTTCGCGCTTCGCGCAGCGCGAAGCGCGAAGTTGGGAGCCCTAGCATCAAACGGCGTTCTGCACTACATCCAGAATCCAACACAGACGGTGTGCTGCTTTGTTTGGGCGACCGTTTTGTTCGTCGTCGGGTTTCAAGCGTGGCATGCGAACTTCGATCCGTTGTGCGTTTAGTGGTGTCGCTGAACGGCACCCTTGCTTCGCTTTTCGTTGCCGCTCGGCAGCGGATAATTCTCAAGTGTTTGTTTTACACGCCGGGGCCGGTTATCGTGTCAAACGCCACTTCGTGAAAACCAACGGATGGGTCGGTCGATCACGGTATCATGTCCACTACGGAGTAATCATCTCCAGGGATCATAGTCCAGATCTGAATTCAGCCAGGGGGCAAACCATCCAAGCCTCCTTGGTGTTGAGGTGGCACTTTGTGCATCTGACTCGAGGGCCCGCGGTGTGGTCTGCACGCCGAGACGCCAGGAGATATCCAGCTGGGGAGCACCAGGCACGGATCTCCAAGCTGATCCGAGACCCAGGACCTCATTGCCCACCACACCATCCCAACCCAGCCCGAAGGCCCCGATTTGCTCTTCATTTCCAGTTGAGGGGGGGTCGGGGAACATGGGAAACCACACACACACACACACACACATTAAGCCAATACTCCACCCAACATGAAATTCGGGCCTTCGGGTTGGGTTGGGGTGGTCTGGTAGGTAGTCAGGACCGTTTTTGCCTCATGCGCGTCCATTGGCCTTCGTTCCATCCCGTCACTGTGCCTGGATTGTGGGCCAGAGCTCTCTTGGATGCCTCTTGGGGTCTCTTGGGGTGCGTCTCTTGGAAGCCTCTCTGAGGCATCCTGGGTTCTGCTGGGGGCCGCTCGGGGTGGCCTCTCGCAGGCCTTCATCCCGGGGCTTCTTGGTCGCATCTGGGGGCCTCGTGGAGGCCTCTTGGCTGTCCTCTGGGCCATCCTTGCACTAGCGGGCTCCCGGGGTCGAAGCAAGGGCTCCCTCGAGGGCGCGAAGTTATTCGCGCTTCGCGCTTCGCGGTCCTCGTTCCTTCTCCCCCTCCTCCTCGTCCTCCTATTCTCCCTTTGGGAGGGCGGCGCGAGAGCGCGAAGTTATTCGCGCTTCGCGCAGCGCGAAGCGCGAAGTTGGGAGCCCTAGATGATTCATTTCCACGTGGCGATCCTCCAGAATCGCCCGGAAGCACCGAGGAGCGCCCAGAATTCCGTGGTTTGCTGGGCCTTTTTTTTGCGGTATTGAGGGATGAATGGGCTTGAGGCCAACCCTCTCGGTGCCCACTGGTCAGTGACGAATGCAGCGTTGTCCATGACAGGCCATTGCTTTCAGTGCTGTCGAATCCTGCCAGGTGTCGAGATTGGGCTCCGCAGAGCACCTTCCGCAGGCGCACACTTGCATCAACAAGATCGTGCTCCATCGCTACGCGTCCAAAGAGCAGCTCGTTGAGAAGCTGTTGATGGCTGTGACCACTGCGGATGGCTTCTCCACGGCCTGACCCGCTCTAGCGCTCTCTTTGTGGCGCTTCTCCCGTGCCCGTCCTCGTTGCACTGCTCGTAAGCCGGGCCCGTCCCTCTACAGGAGGAATATTCAAAAATAGTACAATAGTCTGGGGCCGATGTTTTATATAGTTGTTGTCAATCTGGGGGTATGTTTGCAATTATTTTTGATTCTTCGTCCAGACTCCCCCTGTGGGAGAACAGGCCCGACTTAACGCTGCTCTTGCCCGTGTGTCAACCTCGCGCCAGCAGGTCAGAGCCCCGAATCATCAGGGCTAACTCGGGTCAGGGCCAACTCGGGTTCCTTTTTCGGGAACCTGAGCCCGAGTTACCCCGGACCCGAGTTACCCCGCATAACTCGGGCGTCCAGAGCCCCGAATCATCAGGGGTAACTCGGGTCAGGGCTAACTCGGGTTCCTCTTTTTCGGGAACCTGAACCCGAGTTGCCCCGGACCCGAGTTACCCCGGATAACTCGGGCGTCCAAGCTGCTCTTGCCCGTGTGTCAACCTCGCGCCAGCAGGTCAGAGCCCCGAATCATCAGGGCTGACTCGGGTCAGGGCTAACTCGGGTCCCTTTTTTCGGGAACCTGAACCCGAGTTGCCCCGGACCCGAGTTACCCCGGATAACTCGGGCGTCCAAGCTGCTCTTGCCCGTGTGTCAACTTCGGATGCAACTCCTGGGAGGTCAAATTCTGATTTAGCCCTGGTCCGAAATCCCGCTGAATCCGGCTGAATCCCGCTTAATCCCGCTTAATCCGGCTTAATCCCGGTTAATCCCGCTTAATCCGGCTCAATCCCGTTTGATCCGAGGCCCATTCTGGCTTAACAGCCCCCCAATGGGGCTTAATCCTCCTTAATCCTTCCGACGAAACCTCCCAGTAGTTGCCTCCTAATGTCAACCTCGCGCCAGCAGGCTTGAGCTGACCAGCGCCGCCGCTGCGAATCCCTCGGCCTGTCGGCGTGAGGCGCCCGGGCGGGAAGGCGGAGGGGGGCCCGATGCCTCTCGGGAGGCGGCGCGGCCTCCCGGCAGGCCACGCGCGGCTCGGCAGAAGGCGCGAGGTCACCTCCTCCTCCTCCTCCTCCTCCTCCTCCTCCTCCTCCTCCTCCTCCTCTCTCCTCCTCCTCCTCCTCCCTCTCCTCCTCCTCCTCCTCCTCACTCCCTCTCCTCCTCCTCCCTCTCCTCCTCCTCCTCCTCCTCCTCCTCCTCCCTCATCCTCCCTCCTCCGCCCTCCTCCCTCGACACATTCGGGTCAGGGTAACTCGGGTCAGGGCTAACTCGGGTCAGGGCTAACTCGGGTTCGTTTTTCGGGAACCCAAGCCCGAGTTACCCCGGACCCGAGTGACCCCGGATAGCTCGGGCGGATCCAGAGCCCCGAATCATCAGGGGTAACTCGGGTCAGGGCTAACTCGGGTTCCTTTTTCGGGAATCCAAACCCCCCGGACCCGAGTTACCCCGGATAGCTCGGGCGTCCAGAGCCCCGAATCATCAGGGGTAACTCGGGTCAGGGATAACTCGGGTTCCTTTTTCGGGAACCCAAGCCCGAGTTACCCCGGACCCGAGTTACCCCGGATAACTCGGGCGTCCAGAGCCCCGAATCATCAGGGGTAACTCGGGTCAGGGCTAACTCGGGTTCCTTTTTCGGGAATCCAAGCCCGAGTTACCCCGGACCCGAGTTACCCCGGATAACTCGGGCGTCCAGAGCCCCGAATCATCAGGGGTAACTCGGGTCAGGGATAACTCGGGTTCGTTTTTCGGGAATCCAAGCCCGAGTTACCCCGGACCCGAGTTACCCCGGATAACTCGGGCGTCCAGAGCCCCGAATCATCAGGGGTAACTCGGGTCAGGGATAACTCGGGTTCGTTTTTCGGGAATCCAAACCCGAGTTACCCCGGACCCGAGTTACCCCGGATAACTCGGGCGCCCAGAGCCCCGAATCATCAGGGGCAACTCGGGTCAGGGCTAACTCGGGTTCGTTTTTCGGGAATCCAAGCCCGAGTTACCCCGGACCCGAGTTACCCCGGATAGCTCGGGCGCCCAAGAAGGCGCGAGGGCTTCTGAGGACCCCCGCCGCCCTCAGAGCAGGCTGGAGGTACCCATACCTCTACCCGGGTAGTCACCACCCACCAAACCACCCCAACCCGACCCGAAGGCTCAGATTTACCCTCGATTTCCAGTGGGGGGGGGGTCGGGAAACGTCGAAAAAACACACGTGGAACCCTTACCCCCCCCCAACCCGAAATTCGGGTCTTCGGGTTGGGTTGGGGTGGTCTGGTGGGTAGTCAGATAGAGGTGTGGGGCGAGGGGCCCCTCGCCCGTTTTCCCCCTTTTTGTTGGGCCTCCTGGGAAGCCCCCGTCGCCACCGCGCTGGCTTCGCCTCGAAGTGCTGGTCGGAGCGCCCCCCGGGAGAGGCCCGGGGAGTAGCGGTAGCGGTGCCTTTTTCAGGAGGAAAAAACACAGACACAATTAATCCTCGATTCCCAAGAAAATATGGGAAAATATGGGAATTGAGGGGGGAAGACAAAAACCCAGAAAATATGGGAAAATATGGGGATTATTTTTATTTGTGTGTATTTATTTGTGTGTCCTAATTTCCCTTTACTTTTGCTCTCCCCAGGGCGGGGGGAGTTCGATCCCCTGGGCTTGTTCCAGGGAGCGCTCTGGCTAGAACGTCGAGGCGGGTCCGGCCGGGGCGACGAGGCGCCCCCTAGATCGGGGGCGGAAAAGAGGGGGGTGATGACTAGGGGGGGGTGGATATCATGGCGTGGGCCATGATATTTCCCCAGATCTCATGGCGCCTCTTCTTATTTCATTACGTCCCTGGCCCGCCCGCTGGGCCGCGCACATGCCGCCGGTCATGATTTGCACCCCCCCCCTCTTCGACACCCCCCTCTTTGCCGCTCCCGACTAGAGGGCCCAAAAGGGCGGCAGAGCAGAGCCCCCCCCGGGGGTCCCAGGAAGGGCATCCTGCAGCTCTGGGCCCCCTCTGCGTTCCCCCGCGGGCGCGTCGCCGAGCTTGCGTTCTGCGGGGCGGAGGGTGCACTGTTCAACAGGGCTCGAGGTAAACATTGTTTTGGCGATTTCGTGGAACGTTTCCGTTTTGATGTCGTTTCGCAGCGAGGGCGGAGCGAAGACAGAACGAGGGAAAGCGGAAACAAACCGAACACGAAAAACACGGTTTAGCTCGAGCTTTGTCTTTTTCAAGGCAAGAAGCGTTTTGCCACCATCAATCATTATCGAGCCTGCGGCGGGAGCAAGGAGCGGTGTTCTTTTTAGAAATCCGCTGGTGGTAAACCAGTGGGCACCCAATACACTCCCTGCCGTTGATGTGGCATTCCAGTGCGCGTGCCTCGAAGCAGAAAAGCTGCATAAACACAATGCTCAGGAGGAAAAGAAACACACAGACACAACTAATCGTCGATCCCCCAGAAAATATGGGAAAATATGGGAATTGTGTGGGAAGTCAAAAACCCAGAAAATATGGGAAAATATGGGGAATAATTTTATTTGTGTGTATTTATTTGTGTGTCCCAGGGCCCCTTCAAGTGCCCGAGGTCCGTGTGCAGATCTTCTGGGATCGGCGATGAGAACCTGCCTCCCTGGCGCCGCGGAGCGCGCCCGGCGCCGATCGAAGGAACCCGCTCGGACCTCCAACGCTTTATGCCTTCATGAAACAGGTTGCCCGCAATGGTTCAACATAACCGCATGCCGATGATAATAAAGGGACCCCACCCCCCTTCGGTGTTTAGAGTTGATTATCGTCGCCCTATACAAGATTCAAATTGGGCGGCGAGCGCTGAGGCCGAACTTCATTATCACCTCGAAACGCTATGTTGAGATAGCAACATCAAGCGATGTTGCTATCCCCGCGCGCGCCTGAACTTTTTTTATCTCTGGGGTTGATTATCCATGAAACAGGTTGCCTGCAATGGTTCAACATACAGTGGGTGCCCATGCCAAGAAACACCCTGCTTGCTTCCAGGATGCCCCGGGTTTCTTGGGTTTCGATGGTCCCACGGCCATCCTGGGGTCTCAGGGTTGGGTTTCCTGTGGGAGGTTTCTTGTGGACTGGCCTCCACTGCATTCCTTGAGCAGGTTGCCTGCAAGGGTTCAACATGTCGTTTCTCAGAACCCAGGAGCATCGCCGGACCCGGAGTTGGTCGGGCGGCGCTGTCCTCCCTCGTCTCCCACTGTCTATCCGCATCCCCCTCCCTATTTCTATATGCCCCTCTGCCTCTGCCCCTGTCCCTTCAATCCTGATCCTCCCGCCCAATACGTCTCCCGAGCTCCACATCCCGTGCTTCTGGCTGCACATCCCGACCCACATCCCTGCCTTGCTTGCCCCCTCTCGCGGCCCGCCATCGCGTGGCCCCCTTTGTCGTGACTGTGCTGTTTGGGGAGCTTTGCCCGCCAGGGTCTCATGCCTGTGCAGGCTGTCCTCCTCCATGTCGGCACTGCCGTCGCCGCGCACAGGCGGGTTAGGGGGACGGGGGGGCCTTCGTGGCAGGAGGGGGGCTGCCTCTCAGAGGGCGCCGGCCCTGCAGTCGGGGCGTTGACCTAAGGAACCCTAAATAAACAAGCGAGGCCCCTGTTTTCCATAAGTTGAGCTTCGACTTCCCATCGAAAACAGAAGGAAAACCTGGGGCAAGCTGTGAATCACGTAGGGAACGCGGAGCCCCTCCCCATCCGCTGCCCCAGGAGGAGGAGGAGGAGGAGGAGGAGGAGGAGGAGGAGGAGGAGGGAGGAGGGGGAGGAGGAGGGAGGAGGAGGAGGAGGAGGAGGAGGAGGAGGAGGAGGAGGGAGGAGGAGGAGGAGGGGGAGGAGGGGGAGGAGGAGGAGGAGGAGGGGGAGGAGGAGGAGGAGGATCGGCCTCCGCTGCCCCAGCCACGGCGGGGCCCGCGAGGGGCCAGCGCTCGCGCGCCTCCGTGGCACCCCGGAGGAGCACCGCCCGGGGGAGCGCCAGCCCGCTGGGCTTTGGGCCCACGGGCGGCCGGGCAGGGGAAGGCCGAGCGACGCTCGGCCTGGCATCGCTCGGACGTGTGCATCGTTTTTCTCGGCGAGGGCCATCAAGGAGCATCCTTGATCATCGGGCGAAGAAACCACGCACGAAACCGAAAAAAAACACTCGGCCTGGCATCGCTCGGACGTGTGCATCGTTTCTCGGCGAGGGCCATCAAGGAGCATCCTTGATCATCGGGCGAAGAAGCCACGCACGAAGCCGAAAAAAAAACACAGGGAATGGACGTCCAGGCGATGGCCAGGTGCGGGCCCCTGCCCTGGCCACGATGGGCACTGGGGCCCCCGGGCACCAGCTGGGAGTGCTCGTGCCCAGCGAGGTCAGCCACGCGCAGGAGGGCGGCTTGGGGGAGGGGGGAGGGCTTCCCAGAAGCACCACTGCTCGGTAGCAGGCGCGGACCCCGTCTGCAGACGTACAGTCGGGGCCCTGAAGAAGGAACCCTTTTGGTTGGGGAGGGGCTCCGCGTTCCTTACGTTATCCACAGCTTGCCTCAGGTTTTCCTTTTGTTTTCGATGGGAAGTCGAAGTTCAACTTATGGAAAACAGGGGCCTCGTTTGTTTATTTAGGGTTCCTTGGGTCAACGCCCCGACTGTACACTTTAGGCGATGCTTAAGAAAACCCAAGTTTTCGGCCAGAGTCTCGATTATTCTTAATGTTTCAATGCAGATCCCAAGTTTTGAATAGACACTCTGGGTTTTTATTCAAATTCTGAGACTATGAATTTCTTAACCCATGATTTCTAAAGCATTTCGCAGGGTGTGTATTTATGAATTTCTAACCCATGATTTTATTTGTGTGTATTTATTTGTGTGTCCTAATTTCCCTTTATATTTAGGGTTCCTTAGGTCAACGCCCCGACTGTAGGGCCGGCGCCCTCTGAGAGGCAGCCCCCCTCCTGCCACGGAGGCCCCCCCGCCCCCCCTAACCCGCCTGTGCGCGCCGCCACCCAACGAGGGCACGGCGAGGGAGCAGCCGGAGCCGGGCCGCAGCGCTCCGCTCACGAACATCCTCCGCCTCCTCGTTCCTCCTCCTCCTCCTCGTTCCTCGTTCCTCCTCCTCCTCGTTCCTCGTT